GGCTCTGCTGAAACTTTGAAAGTGGGGGGAGGGGGGGAGAGGAGAGGAGGCTGGATGGAAGATAGGGTCAGTGAAAAGAAGGTGGATTGTGGGAAGTGGGAGAAGGGGAAAAAATTTCAGGATGTAGTCCCCATTCAGTATGCACTGTAACTATTTAATGATATCCTATAAGGTTACAATGTGGGGTGAAAGGTGACAAGTAGGGGGTGAGATGGTTTATCTCCCTCCCAGTAGTGAAGCAGTTTCTCACAGGGCATCTAAAACAAACTGTTTCTCCATGTATTAGCTGTAACACTCTGAGTACATTTCCCAGACCTGAAGAGGAGCTCGGTGTAGCTCCAAAGCATGGCTGTCTTTCCAACAGAACGCGATCCTTGCTCCCCCAAAAAAGTTACTTCACATACTCTGTTTAAAATATCTAGGACCAAACATGACTACAACAATGTTTTCTAGGGCTTTGTCTACACTACACATTATTTAGGCAACCCAGCCATGTCACCAAGGGTACGTCTACACTACCCTCCTAGTTCGAAATAGGAGGGTAATGTAGGCATACCGCAATTGCAAATGAAGCCCGGGATTTGAATTTCCCAGGCTTCATTTGCATAAGCAGGGCGCCGCCATTTTTAAATCCCCGCTGGTTCGAACCCCATGCAGCGCGGCTACATGCGGCATGAACTAGGTAGTTCGAACTAGGCTTCCTAGTTCGAACTACCGTTACTCCTCGTGGAATGAGGGGTAGTGTAGACATACCCTAAAAGTCAGGCAATAAGGGTACATCTACAATTGCACTCGATCAACAAAACTTTTTGTGTTGACGATTGCTTAACCCGCCTGCTCTCCATGAATGACGAAGTTTTGCACTGGTAAGTGAAAGTGTGAACACTGCTCTGTTGGCAGGAGCACTCCTCTGACAACAAAGTGAACCTCCCCTTCCATGTAGGGCACAGAAATATTAAATACCATTCATACAAGCTGATTTTTTTGTGACAAGGCTGTCTCGACACATTGCATCATACACATCACAATGCTTTTGTTGGGAACAACGCCCAGTTTCTGCATAAAAAATACTTCCACCCCCGCTAGAGATTTTTTTCTTTTCCCCTCCCTTTATTGATGACAAAGACAGTAGACTAGGGATGTAAAATTGCTGGAGCAGTCCCCAGACTGCAGGCTTCCACTCCCAGCCCCGTGCTGGGGCTGGCTGTTTGCTCCCAGCCCCCATATGGGGGCTGGGCCTGCTGCTGACTCCCAGCTCCTGCTGGAGCAGTCCTCTGCCCGCAGCAGATGAGAAGCTGCATCAGCTCCCACCAGTTAATCTCTGACATCCCTAGTGTAGACTAGGGATGTAAAATGCTATTTAAAATGTTAACTGGTCAGTCTATATGTTTCACCCGTTAACTGGTTGACTATGTCGCACAGTGGGCATGGGGCCACTGGCTGGACTGGACCAGCTCCCCCACACATGGTGCACTGCCCTGGCTGGACAGGGACCACTGCACCACAGGGCAGGAGGCTGCTCCAGCCTGTCCGGGCACTGGTTAACCAGTTACCCCAGTAAACAGTTACCCTTTTACATCCCTAGTGTAGACACTGCTCTTTGTTTTGTTGACAGAACTGGCTTCTGCCAGTATCCCACAATGCTTGCTCTGATTGCTCTGCTCAGTGTTTTGATCTCTGCTGCCCTGCAGGCATATTCCCCTTTCCTTTCAAAGCTCCGGGAAGTATATGGCAGCTGAGTGTGCTGCTCCCTTTGGGGAACAAACAAAGAGCAAACAATTTAACTGATCCTGTTTTGCCCTGCACTAAGAACACAGCTGCTGGAGCTTTCCGCAGGAGGAGGGAGACAGACTGCGGTGCTGCTTTGACATTGCTCAGCATGGAGAGCTCACTCATGATGCAGATGCACAGGGATCAGTTCTGTCTCTTCACAGCACTGTACAGTAGGATACATATCCACAGTGCATTGCTCACACTGGGGATGATAGAGTGTGGACATGATCTGTTCACAGAAGGAGTAAGTGTGAACACCCTATGGTGATTTTTGTTTTGTCAACTTTTCAGCGTTGACATAAACTTTGTTGACAAAACTTGTTAATGTAGACATACCTTTGTCTACACTAACCTCTCGCCCTCTCAGGTCTATGTAACCTGTGCACTTACCACAGTGTCTTCTTCGCAGTAAGGTTAATGGGGGCTGCTCTTCCGTGAACTCCAGCTACATTTCTCATCCTAGTAGAGTACTGGAGTTTAGGGGAGAGCGCTCGGAGATTGATTTGTTGCAGGTAAGCAGCGTTGATCCATTACATAGTGAAGACAAGTCTTAAGTGCTTGTTTCACTCGGAGATTGATTTGTTGCACCTAAGCAGGTAAGCAGCGTTGATCCATTACATAGTGAAGACAAGTCTTAAGTGCTTGTTTCAGCTACACCAGACTAACACGGCTACATTTCTATCACCTTTCAGGAGTGAGCACTCCTTCCTACAAAGTACTGAATACACTAGCACATGACTTGGCAAAGCTTTTGTTTGAGGATAGGGAGGTGTTAAAGTTTTTGTCATTTGCAGGTGCTTTGTTGCGCAATTGCCAATGTAGACCAATCAGCTAACATGAGCATGATTTACAGGTTTATCTGGAGACAGGGTCATTGAATGTTCAATAGGTTTTTAAACATGCAATTACGAAGATTTTACTGTTTGTCTAAGTTAGCAAAAAAATAAAACAAAAAAACCCAGCAACTGTTGGCCATCAGGCACAGTGGCTAAAACAGCCCAGTTCCTCTTTGCCCTGTCCCTTGCCTGGACACTTCCACCAGTGCAAAGTGGATGCAAAATGCTACTAACTCAGAAAGCATTTTACAGCCACTTTTCACTAGCATGCACGACTATACAAGCTGCAAGGGAATAATTGATTAGGTCTTCGTTATTCAGAGTAAAAAACAACAAATGGTCTGGTAGCACTTTATAGACTAACAAAACATGTAGATGGCATCATGAGTTTTCATGGGCACAGCCCACTTCTTCAGATGACTGGAGTTATGAGTTTAGGATGTGCAGACCCAAAATAAAGAGGAGGGGGAAGAGGAGGGGGGAGGGAAAAAAAGGGAAGGGGAGTGAGAGACAGGGAGCTAGAGGGAATCTGTAACTATCCAAAGATTGGGTATTTAAAACGAAGCAGGTAAGAATCAAAGTCAATTGATAGTATCCTTCCTGATTTAGGAGTCTACATAAAGAGCTGTTTGCACCTTCAACGGCTGTTAAGTTGGTAGTTCCCCAACCAACTTTCATCAGGATTGAGTCCATTAGCATGTGAATTGAATTTGTGGATGAACTCTAATTCTAATGCTTCTCTGTGGATCCGGCTAGTAGAACTGGTTTGTGACAAGACAGCTACTTGAAGATATTTTAAACAGTGATTCAGAAGATTGAAGTGTTCCCCAACAGGTTTCTGTACGATTCCTTTACGTATATCTGATTTGTGTCCATTGATTCTTTCCTGCAGAGACTGTTCAGTTTATCCAATATATATAGCAGTAGGGCATTGCTGGCATTTAAAGGTGGTGGTGAGGGGTGTAAGATACACAGTTGTAGAAAGGATGTTTTCAGAAAACTGCTTTTCAGAAAACATAATAGATAAATTGTGCAAATCTTTGAGAGAGATATGTGTATATAGGGAGACCCAAATTGCTCCCATTTCCCACAGAGAGCAGCAGAGATGGTGAGGGATCAAACAACCTCCCCATTTGCTACCTTTCCATGGGTGCCAACATAAGAGGAGATCTGTGCAAGGAGAGAAGCCATTTAAATCAGATCTCTTTCCTGGAAGCCACGAGAATTACTCTAGATACATCTGTGTTCCATGTAAGCTTTTGGAATCTTCCAATTGTTTGTCTTCTTGGCAGAGACTTACTGTCAATAACAACAGTTCTCTGCCCCCAAATGATAAATACAACTATGTATGGTCTCAAATCCAGCTGCTTAGCAAACAAGACTGAATTGAGAGTATTCAGACAACAATTGATTTAGAAATAAACAAACCTATCTAAATTTACAAAAAAAATGTAGATATGAGAGAAAGAGAGACACTGAAACAGACTCAATATGTGGTTGTCTGAGCCACTGAGGAAACTGACAGTACAAAATGGGCATTTCTTATAAAACCCCACTAACAACAGGGTAGCCAGTCCTGGATGTACATTCTGGAGTGAAGATTCTGGATAGAGTTACTCTGTCAAAACTTTATTTTAATTAGCAGTAAAGTGATTGAATATCATAAGATGCTGGATATAGGCCACTAGTCCGTTATATAGATTCTGGGGGATAATAGCTAATTGTTTCCTAATTAATTGAAACAGCAAAGAGAATCTATGTGTTGTTGGGGTGGTGATGGTGGGGTAGGATGGTGGGCTGCCCTTTTCCATTTGTGACCCTCAAATTCAAGCACTGAATGGCTCCCAAATCCTCCCCAGCGGCCTCCCAAATCCTTTCTAGTGAGTCTGCCTGCCTATAGTACCGGCACGGTCAGTGTCTTGTCGCTGCCGAATGCAAGCTCTTCACGAGAGTACAGAGAAGATTGGCTCAGCCGCTGCTGCCATCTATGTGAGAAAAGGAACTCAATGGAAACAAGCCACTGAGCAGATCCGCTTCCGTAGGAGACTGAGCAACAGGAGACGGCAGGAGCAGGAGCGCCCCCTGGTCGCTCCTCAGGCAGACAGCTTGGGCGGCGGGTGTGAAGGGCCAAGTGCGTTGGGGCTAGGAAGTGGGCTCGGGAGCGGGGGGAGACAACACGCCTACTACCCACCTTCTTTGCCTGCTGGAGCATCTCCCGAACGATCTGCTTGAGGTGCGGCGCATTCTCCTCCTTCCTGGGGTGGGTGAAGAGACTCACCCCGCTGATGCCCCGGTAAAAGTTATTGTCCGTCCAGCCCAGGTCCAGCCCAAGTGCGTTGGGGCTAGGAAGTGGGCTCGGGAGCGGGGGGAGACAACACGCCTACTACCCACCTTCTTTGCCTGCTGGAGCATCTCCCGAACGATCTGCTTGAGGTGCGGCGCATTCTCCTCCTTCCTGGGGTGGGTGAAGAGACTCACCCCGCTGATGCCCCGGTAAAAGTTATTGTCCGTCCAGCCCAGGTCCAGCGGCGGCACCTCGGTGTCGGAGCGCTCCGGCCAATAGGCCAGCGAGACGCCCTCGTCGCCGGCCCCGTCGCCTTGCAGGTGCGCATCGTAGCGGCGCCAGCAGGCCGGCAGCACCCGCCGCCC